TGGAGTAAAGGTGAGTGAAAAAGTATTAAAAAAACAATACAAACAATTTGTTGTCTATTATGTTTTAATTTAAAAATTTTCTAATATAGACAACTAGAAAGAAAGAAAAATTAGGGTAAAAAAAAGAGATATATAATGATAGATAGCAATACCAATAATGACTAAGGAAGAACTAGAGGGGGTATGTTAATGGGAGAAAAAAGAAAAAAGAAAATCACTAATCTATAAAAGTAAAGAAATGGTGAATGTATGGTAGAAAGATAAAAGTTAAATGAGAAGCTGAGAAATTGAGTTGCAAGAAAAAATTAATAATGAGAGAAGTGAAGTAAAGGTAAGTGAAAAAAAAAAAAAAAACTAGAAAATAATGTTAAGAAGTTGTGTCACTTATGTTTTAGCCAAAAACATTTCTAGAATTGACAATAAAAGGGAGAGGAAAATTAGGGTAAACAATGTGTGTGTGTGTATATAATGATAAAAAGAGATATAGTAAATGATTAAAAAAGAATAATATTGAAAAAATGCTTAGGCAAATGAAAATTTGAAAATTTTTAAATAGTTTTTTAAAATTAAATTGATTAAATTTGTACATTTAAATTTTTTTATATTTGTCATTTAGAAGAATCATAGGTTTATAGTTTAATCTCTAATCTCTAAACATCATAAAATAGTGTTTAATTACTCTTAATTTTAGGGTTAAATAAGATTAAAACACTACCTTTTAAGAGGTGTTAATTTCATATCATAGAACATGTGGATGAGGTAAGTTTAGAAATAAAAGAGAATTATCTCTCATTATACAACCAAAAATCATAATAATAATAATAAGATGAATAATGTAAAGTAGGTTGTCCTCTCTTCTTCTTCTTTTTTTTTTGTTTTTTATGAGGACTTGTCTAACAACCTATTTCCTAATTAATATTTTTAAAAATCAGTTATTAGATTGAAAGTTTTATTAATGCAAATCATGCATGTCAATTTTCATATTAATTGAATATTTATAACCCTTTGATTAAATAATCTCTATTTACTAATATATATTTAATGATTTTAAATTTTTTATAATCAACAAAGTGGTGAGGTTTATTAAAATAATTTTAAAATTAGCATGCTGAATAAAATTTGTAATCTATTTATTGATTTTTAAAAATATTAATTAGAAAATTAATTTTTGTAATACTCAAGGATTTCTTACTTAAAATTTAAATAAATTATTTAAGCTCTTAAAGGGTGTATATGTGATAGATTAAATTTAGGGTTAAAATTATAATGAGGTGAGGAACTCAGGGACTAAACTTTATAATTAAAGCTCAAGGACTAAGTGGCAATATTTCTCTTTTTTTGTAAAAAACCCGCCAAATCAAATGGGTCGGCAGTCGGTAGTTTCATTTTTGCTTTCTTACTTTTCGGGAAACAAGATCGACTTCCTTCTCTGGCTAGCGAGGGGGACCGTAGGGATCTGCCATATTAGACTAATCCAAGATAAATTGTCTTCTTTAAGTTTGGAATATTTAGGAATTTGGAAATGAAGGGAATGGGTAGATGCATGGGTTTTAGAATTATTTCCTTAGGTGCCTAATAAGTACAAAGAAACTTTTTGAATTATGTTTATTTTGATATTTATTTAGATTTCGAATAACTCTATGGAATTGCATTTTAAGAAATACTTATTGAGGTAAATAGTTATATCTTTTAGTGTTTTTAAAATAAATCAATATATTTAAATGAGTTTTGTCCATATTTGATTTATTTATTTATTTGATTATTTATTTATTTATTTCTTAGAGAATGATTTTTACTAAATATTTTTAATGATGAAATGAGATGATTTGTGGATCAAGTATAATATTTTTATTTAAATTTGAGATGAGATTGTGGTCATGTGGAAGTGGCTAATTTAAATATGTTTTCTCCAATATTATTGAAATTGTTATTTTTAGAATGATTTCTTTTATTTGTTTTGGCTAAATGATTCACCCTTGTGAGAGTTGAATTGTTAGTATTGTGATAGACCTGGGATCTATGGATTGTGAATTGTAGATTGTGGATCGTATATTGTGGAATGATGATTGATTATCATTGATCGTGGATTGTGGATTGTTGCACAGTCATAAGAGACGAATAATGAAATATTCTGGTTTCAAGGAAAGAATTGTATTTCTTTTATCGTTTCATTTTCAATAAAAATTCAGTTTTAAATTTTTATACTTGGTTGTGATGGATGAGTATACTACTTACGGAGTTCTTAAACTCACATTTCAAATTTCATCTCATTTCAGGTGAGGAGGTATGAGCATTGGGATTTGCATGAGAATTGAGAGATCGTTAGAATAAATTGACAAAAATTTAGCAATAGTTCAATTGGAAGCTTATTTGGTTTTATAAAATAAGATGTTAATCACTTTATATTGTGGTTAAGAGACTTGATTTTTTTATTTGGAAACTATTAATATTTGTTAATGGAATTGTTTATCTTAAAGTTGTAAGGCTACATTAGAACTTTATGGGAGATTGTATTGGTATGAAGGAAGATGGTCTTACACATTTATGGGGTTACCCTATAAATGTGTGGCATTTGGTATGTCCAAACCTATGGGTTGGGACGTGACAATTTTTAAACAAATCTTTTAAAAAAATTAAAAAAAAATGACTTGCAAAACACTTCTCTTTAATGATAATAAGGCTAAATTCAATAAATAATTTATTAACTATATGATCTATTTCAGTTTAATTTAAAAACAATTTTTTCTTTCAAAATGATTTATAAACTATCAGTTTTATATTAAAATAGTCTACTTGACAAACATCCGTTAACTGGACTAACCAAATTCTTTCTAGCAATGCCACCTAATTTGCCATTTGCATGCCATGTGGCCCAAGAGACTAAGCGAATGTAGAAAAGTTGCCCTTCTAAACTTTTAGAAAATATTAAATATAGTACATATATTTTTTTTAATATTTTGTTTTTTAAGTTTAAATTCTATGTCAAATGTAATAATTATTTAATATAATAATTTCAATTTACATTAATCAAGATTTTAATTTTAATTTACAATAATTAATATTATAATTTACATTTTATTATTTCTTAAAAAACTTAATGTCATTATTAAATTACATATTTTCTTTTCACTAATTTGTATAGAAAAATAAAAAATTTTAATTTTATTTTCAACACTAATAATACATGCATGATTTTAATTTGGGGATTTATAAAATTGAAATTAATTTTTATTTTTTCTAATAACTTTAATTATGTGTGGGGTGGTCATTTAATTAAATTAAATTTGGGAAGGGTTTAGTTGTTATAAATATTAATATTTAATAACAAATTAAAATTTTTAGAAATAATAAAATTTAAATTATAATATTGATTATTATAAATTAAAATTAGAATCTTAATTAATGTAAATTGAAATTT